GGGGGGGTCAAAAGAGCCCCCCCCCGGTCCCCCCATGTCAAAAAAAGCCCGGTCTAGGTAGGGTTAACCATTGTTATTTTGTTGATGCTCAGGTGTAAAGATTCTAGTCCGGGAAGATTTCGAAATATATCTTCCGGAATCGTTCTTATCTGGTTATTGTACAAGGTTAACGTTCGCAGTTGTGGTAGGTTTTGAAATGTACCTGCCTTAATCATTCTAACCATGTTTTCCTGCAAGGACAACTCTTTTAGTAGTGGTAGATTTTGAAATGTATCTGCGTGAATCATCTTGTTGTTCTACAGGTGCAATAATCCTAGTCGCTATAGGTTTTGAAATGAATTTGGCTGAACCACTGATATCTTTTTATCGTAAAGGTACAACCTTTTCAACCCCCCATACCTCAGCAGCATGGACTGATCTACAGTTGTAATAAGATTACTGTGCACGTCTAAGCCGGATATGGATGTTGGGAGGTTCTGCGGGATGCTGGTGAGGCCCATGCTGGCGCGTTTACAATGTAATGATGGTTTACAGCTGCAGTCAGCGTCCGGCATGTTGGACTCGGCCTTCAGGATGATCAGAAGGAAAATCAGCACGTGTCGCAGTGCAGTGTCCATTCATAAATTCCGCAAAATAAAGCCAGCATGTGCTGACTTGTCGTATACATCACAATACCGGCTTTGTATTCCTGCGGTTTAGTAGCATTTTTATTTTGGGCCGGATTTTTCTTTTTTTTCGCCCGCGCGCACTAGTTTTGGGGTCTTCAGAGGATGTCATCCATAAAATTAAGTCGGTGTGGCCTAAGCAATATTACAACAACAATAAAATATGTGCCTACATATTTGAACATTTACAAGGGTATGCAAAATATCAGCACTGCGAAAGCGACGATATATTTAAAAAAAAAACAATTTCTACATATATTAGATATGAAATCTTAAGATCATTTCAGAAAACAACTTCTTCGTGCTATTGAAAGAAAATGTCGCGGCTTTTAGTGCTTTCTTCGGTTGTGTTTTTCCTTGCTGCAGGTTCCACGTTAATCGCGTGGGGGCGCTGCTTCCTGGTGCAGAAGTTTTAGTCCCAGGTACTCAGCAACCTCCAGGATCGTCATCACGCTGGCGCCTATAAACAACCCCATCATGCCGCCCATGTTACCTGGGCAACGCAACAAACAAACAAATAAATAACAAACAAACAAACAAATAATATTACTGATTCATCATCATTATCATTATTCTTGGTAAATCGATGTTGATATTTAATGTAAATTAGAGAAGTAACATTTGCAAAGCAAATGCATAATGTTTACCTTCAGACATGGTCTACTCTGTTATATCTTACTCAAACACATTCACATAAATGTACTACTAGTACATACATGTAATGTATGGTGACAGGAGCAAAGCAGACCATGAAATTGCAACATTATGTAACCCAACACCAGTCACAATGGTGAGAGACGTCAACAAATCATGCCTGGTCAGAGGTCAGTGTTTGGAACGGCAGAAGAAGAAACGTAGCAAAAACAATGTGTTTTCCTTCGGTAAACATAATTAGTTTTGTGATGCCCATGTGACCTGGGCAACACGAAAAAGTAACAAATAAACATCTTTGTTGTTCCAAACGTACTTGCGAGCTGTCCCGAGTCCACTGCTTTGAGCTGCGAAATCTTCTGGTAGTTCAGAGTGTCGTAGTAGATGTCCAGTACAACCCCGTTTTCTCTGAAAC